CAAGTGGTAGAGTGCTAGCCTTGAGCTGAAGTGCTGAGGGACAGCACCCAGGCCCAGAGTTCAGGCCCCACGACCGGACCCAAAAAATAAATAAATAAATAAAATAAAAAATAAAAAATAAATGATTTTCCCTAGGAACTTACTTATAAAATAAAACCTAACTTTATTTGATAAACTAGATGAGCAAGAGATTAGTAGCATTCCAGCTTTTAGTAAAAGAAAAAAAAAAGGGCTGAGAATGTGACTCAGTGGTAGAGTGCTTGCCTTGCATGCATGAGTCCCTGGGTTCGATTCCTCAGTACCATATATACAGAAAAAGCCAGAAGGGACATAGTGCCTCAAGTGGTAGAGCACTAGCCTTGAACAAAAAGTAGCTTAGGGACAGTGTCCAGGCCCTGAGTTCAAGCCCCAGGACTGACAAAAGAAAAAAAAAAGAAAAAAAGGTATAGAATTGTCAAGGAATGGTGACGATAATTACTGTTACAACTTCCTAAACACTCACTATATACCAAGTACTTTACTAATTACTGAACATTACAAGTCTTAACTAATCCTTGCAATAATCCCATGAGGTAGGTAGACCATTTTTTTTTTCCTTTGGCAGTGTCGGAGATGTTCTTGCTTGCTAGGCAGATGTTCCTCATGAGCCATATCCCAGTCCTTTGTACTGTAGTTATTTTTCAAATAGGGTCTTGTATTATGCTTAGTCCAGCCTGGCTTGTGATCTCCTTCTGACCCATCCTATGTAGCTATGATGGCAAGCACATATCAGCACACCCAGTCTTTTACTGGTTGAGACGATATCTTACAAACTTGTCTTACTTGCCCAGGTGCTCAAATCATACTCTCAAATCACACTCTCTCAAATCACAACCCTGCAAATATTTACCTCTCAAATAACTAAGATGGCAGTGTGAGCCATCATACCTGGCTGGAGGTAGATATACTATTAATCTCCTTATCTTGCAGATGAAGAAACTAATGCTCGGAGACTTCATCACTTGCCTGACTTTGCACCTGACTTGCCTGACTTTGAGCTCCCTGAAAAAAGAATAGAAAAGTGGTGGCCTCAGAGAAGAGGATGGATTTAAGACCTCCTTTTGAAATAACATGGCCATGGCTGCAGGGAAAGAATGGAGTGTTGGCAAGACAGGCTATGTGAGGCAAATAGTCATTAAGGGACCAGTAAAGTTATAACAGGATGACACCCAGGATAAGCTTCATAAAAGCAATCATTCTGCTTAGGTATCACAGTGAGGTGTTGTTTATGATCTCTGACATCACAGCTACACTTTTGAAGAAATCAAGGTAAATTGCTTGAAGATTTTAGAGGACACTAGCTTTGTACAGTAAGTTAGTCCCCTTATTGATAATATTCTGAAGTAAATTTGTCCCCTTAAATAAGCTTTGCAGCTCCAGAAATGTAGACTGAGTAACAAGGAGGAAGAAGATGCTCTAGCTTAGATCTGTTGGCCAGGATTGGCAAAGGGTGAGCAGAGGTATCTTAGAAACATTGCTGAGCCCAAGAGGTAAGATGTGTCCATTGAAAAGGGCTGGAATCACTTTCAAATATTATTTGCTAGGTGGGGAAAATTCAATCTAATATGCCTACCCAGTCAGCAACATAGTTTGACTAACTAGTCCTAATGTTACTAAGAGCTAAGCACAATGAAAAACACTTTTGACTTGGTAGACTTATGAAAACAATAACCCACATTTGAAATGAGTCACCCCACAGAAAGGCACAAGATTTCCCAGAAATCCCTAGGGTAGCCATCGGCTATTCTCAACATTAGTTTACACCATCATTCTCATTTTGCAGTAAAAGAATCTGAACTTCAACAGGGTTAGGTAATTTGCATGTGTTGAACCTAGGATTTGAACCTAGGTTTACCTCAAGCAGGCTTTTTTCCTCTATAATATATTGTCCTCCTTCATGCTTGGTTCACATTAAGCCTCTAAAGTCAACAGCGATAAATAAAAGAAATTAAAAATTGTGATACCAGTATTTCATTTCTACTGTCTGAATGTATTTCATGAAGGAGTTCCTCTCCTTGCCCTTGGCTGCAGCTGTGTTTTTCTTCTCTTGCTCCAATCATTTTGACAAATAGGAAACTGCATGCACATTAGGTAAAGGTCACATGGAAGGGAGTGGATAATGTAACTTGCAAAGGGAGAAATGTTATGAATAGTTGGTATTTTTAGAGTGTTATCTTTCTTGTTCACAATGGGTTTTGGCTTCCAGCCTGATGAAATGTAAATTTTCAAGGTCTGAGTGAAAACTAAGAAACAGAACACCAATGCCAAGAATGAGGAACAGAGTGAAGGCTCACTCCCAAGCCCTGCCCAAGAGGTCAGGGACAGAGGGCAGCTGTGATGTCTCAGCACCTGGGCTAGAAGGCTCTGCTCATACTTTTACCTTGTTTGAGGGCTCCTCCACAACCACATTACTCCCAGTGGGATTCTAGATACCCAGGCGGGCTGCAGGATCTCCAGGGAAGACATCTTGCCTTTGGCCATCAGGACACTTCCATCGAACCTGGGACCCATCCATATACCCAAGTGGGTCCCAGTATGCCCAGCCTTGCTACTAGAATTTTCTAGTATATTTATTTTCCTGCACTGTATTTATTCCTCAACCTTCCCAGGATCACCTACCTCTCAACAGATGACCTTACCTTCCACAGAGAACATTTCAGTGACAGGGCCGATGTCTCATCTTCCTTCACCAACCCCCAGCAACTCTTCACTTTCTGCTCTTCGTTATAACCAAGGAGCAGTTCCTCTGCCTTTCTAAGATCTTGGCTTCTTTAGTAAGGACATTGATTTTTTTTGGCCATCCCTTTTATTCCCTCTGCTACATCCAAATGGGTTTCATCCTCTGATCCAACTGCTTCAGCTGAGTGTTCCCTCTGATATACCCCTCCATTTCCCATCTTTGTCATCTTCCCTTCCTTATTTCGTCTTTTCAACCACCCTTGTACCTCAGCATTACCTCAGGATTCCTTGTGACCTCTCCATTATCAAGTCTAATAGTCAGTCACCTTGGACTCAGAAGAAAATGAGAAGCTCTCCCTTTCAGACACATGTCCCTTCTGGTTCCCAAAGCTTTCCTTTCTCCTGGCTTCCCTGTACCCTTTCAGCTGCTACTCCATCTCTGTGAGCTTCTCCTCCTGCTCCCTCCACCCCAACCCCAAGCTTAGTGCAGAGCTAGCGGGGGCTTCCTCTTGTGTCTTCTCATTTTTTCTCATGCTGTCTCTCTAGGCAATCTTGTCCATTTCCATAGCTTTGAACTTCATGTGTATCTGATGACACCAAATGAATATCTCGTGTTGAGAGCTCTCATCTGCCTGACTTGGGTATATCCACTTGTCCACTTGACAAATCAGTTTGGACCCTTACACATCTCAAAGATTTACCCTGTCTAAGCCGTAACCCCTGCCAGACTCACCTTTTCAGCTTCTCAGGTTTCCCCACACTTTTGTGTCTCCAAATCTTTGTTACATCCTGCATTTCCTGTCTGGGATGACCTTTGAGAGCCATGGATACCACGAGCTGTACCTCATTTTTCAGTCATGAGCTTCAAGCTCACCACCTGAGGCCATTCACATTAAACATATTTTCTCCTTGTACTTTCTTATCACTGTAAGGTTTCTTTTATGTATACTGTAATTTGTAATTAAGTGTATTTTTTCTTCTCCTTGTTTTTCTTTGGGGATGAGTGGGAAATTTCTCTTCTAAGCACCACTTTGGCAAAAAAATTCTTATTTCCCCTTTTTAAATTCCACATTACAATATGCCTATGTCTTTATTATACTCAGTAAATATTTGAAAGAATGAGCAGGAGTTGAGGCTCAAGATGGACTACATGTAAGGAATGACCCAGAACATTTTGGCCTGCTTGTGTTTTCCTCATCTCAGTACTGGAAAATTCCTGTCTTTCTACTCACAACACTTCCTGGAATAGGAATAAAGGTGGATTTGGGAGCATGAGGAAAAGGGGAGATTATGTGATATTCACATAATATCATGGGAGGATTCATGGACTAGCGCTTTTATAAAATTTTGTCTCAGGATAGAAAGAGTTTTAAAAATCTGAAAATTCATTTGTAAGCAGGAATCAGGCCAGAGGCATGGTTCTGTTTGCAGACAATCAACCTCTCCCTGAAATGACACCTTGTACTTCCTCCTTCTCACTAGTGGAAAGACAAATGGCGAGGCAGATTGTGAAGCCACAGCCCCTGCACCACCTCTGAGCTGCCTGGAGGAGATAAGCCAGGAGACCAAGGCCAGGATGGAGGAAGAGGCCTACAACAAGGGGTGAGTCAGACTTGAGCTACACCCAAGGGCACCTGGCAGATCTTAGACAGTACCTTCCCACGGCCTCTCCTGTTTCTTACAGACATTAGGGAAGCAACCAGAGGCCCCAGAGCCTGCTTGGCCTGGAAGAAACTCCATAGGAAAGAGTGAGACTGTTCCAAAGGAAAGAAAGAAGGAAACAGGGTCAGAGGGTGTGGTTGGACAATAACTAGACTACTCTCTTTTTAGGCTCAAAGCCACAAGAATGCCACTGCCCAGAATGGTCTGGAAATCAGGGCCCAGGGTAGGTTCCTCTTGGTGGTGCCTGAGACTTCCTGACATATGTGCATAGTGGGCGTGTTGCTGCCAACAATGCTCAGGGGCAGCTGCATCTCTGCTGCCTACAACTTTCCTGGCCATCCCTTCCTCCTATAAACTGGAGTCCTCCACTTCCACCCATCCCCTTGTCTAAACGAAGCAGTAGCACCTAGGACCAGCTGTTGGTCACTGGGTGACAGTATAGATCAGGACTTGGGCACAGACCGCTATGTGGAAAATCACCTTGAACATGGCAGGGAGCACCTTCAAAAGCTACAGCTTCCCATACATGCTGGTGGGATTGCCCAAGCCAAACTGCTGGAGCTAAAGACAGCTGTTGAACAGTGAACAGCTTGTGTGAAGGGCAGTGCTAGTCCTGGGGAGAAGGACGTCAGAAAATGCCAGGAAAGCTTGTCTTCACATTCACAACTGTCATCAGCCCCCGGAAAGTGTGGGGGAAAACTCCTGCACTAGCTTTGTGAATGTTTACCAAATACCTCTCTAGGTCAAGCCCTGACATATCTGAAAAACATTCTAGTATCCTGTGACACAGGGGCCGTTCTATGGCTGCATAGGTTAAATTCCAAGATTATGTGGAGAGGAGATGCAATCTTATCTCTATGGAATGTTCTATTGGACAAGAACCGAGGCAGGAGACCCTGTCCCACATTTTTCCCCTTGTCAGTTTGTCACATTGTCACATAAACAGGAAGGATGACTGAGGAGTGAGGGGAAATTGTACTGACATAAACCATGTTGGGGTTCAGTGGACCTTCCCAGCTTTTTCCTGTTGTGTGGAACCAGAGGAAGTGCGTATCATTGGAGATGCTTGCTCCCGTCCCATCCCCCATGGACTCAGGAAAGGATGTTGCATGTCTGGCCATTCCAGACTCAGTTGTTCCTTTTTGTTCTCTAGATACCAAGAAGGTCTAAAGAAGACCAAAGAACTTCAAGACCTGAAGGAGGAAGAGGACGAACAGAAGAGTGAGAGTCCTGAGGAGCCTGAGGAGATGGAAGAAACTGAGGATGAGGAAAAGGACCAGAGAAGCAGGTGGGAAGCCTGCAATTGGAGCCTGTGCCATTGCTGAAATGGTTTACAATTCACTTAATGGCTGACTTGCACAAATTCTCTGGAAATGCTAGTCAAGCACAGCAATGAGTCTAGGGCCCAAGTATGGAGCCATCAGAAACCAACAGAGCACTCATTTGGGATGAGGTAAAGGACAGCAAGAGCCTAAATAATTCATGGTATGTTTGCAAGAGCCAAGCGGTCTGAAGTGTTTATGAGCAAGGGAAACAGCCATGGAGAGTTCTTAGGAACCGAGAAAGGATCAAGGGTGGTTAGTAGACTTGTTCCCAGCCACAGCACGGTCCACCCATTACCCAGACAACCCCATAAAAAAGCCAAGAGGAAAAGAGCTGACCTGAAAACTGAGAGGAAGGTATATATTATAAGAATAAGAACAAGGGCAAAACAGAGGGAACACATGAGGTAGAAGACAAACAGATTACTGACAAAGGTGTCTCCAACCAGTTTGGTTATCCATATAGAGTCTCTTCATTTTGGACTGGAAATTCTTATCTTTTTATTTAAAGATACTTTATATTTCATGTGTATTTTTCCCTAGAGTGGAAGGTAGGAAATATGTAGATAGAGACTATAGATCCTGTTTCCTGCCTGGCCTTTAGAACACAGAGCAGGTGATGTAACCTTGTCTAGTTTCAATATATCCTCAACCCCACTAGGCTTGGATTATCTCATAGAAAAACTTGTGCCAGTAGAAGAAGTGGACACTGTCCTTTATGTTTAATGACTGCACACCAACATACTGGATTTTCAGAACGGCCCAAACTTCATATATGCTGTGCTATCGTCTCTGTTAGTACATTCACACTATAAGCTTTGAAATTGTATTTATTTTTAATATAGTTATAGCAACATTGGAACACTTCACCAAAATCTTTGTTTTTAGATGCTTGGGCCCTTCTGGGGTCTAGGGCAGTCCCCAGACAAAATGGTTATTTGATCTGCTGCTGAACTTGGGACAGGGGATGTGTCTGTGACTTCTTGCTGCTAAACTGGAAATCACCCACATACAAAGGTAATCAATGAAGGTTAGAAGCAGGATGACTGTGCTTCAAAGCATGTAGGAGTCATCAATAGAGCCCACTAATGGAAGATTCAACCAAAGGGATAGTTCTCAACGTGGAGTTCCTTTGAGCTCTGTTGTCCAGGGAAGAGCCATCCAGGAATTCTGGGGGTGGGAGGGAGAGGAACGTTCCCATGGAGAGGTAGCCTATGCTAGCATGACACCTCTCCTAATAAAAGACACTCAAATTGAACAAGCATAATTCATACTCTAAGCAATTTGATCCTGTTCTCTTTAGGTTCCACCTCCCTGTTAGGGGAGCTCTTATGTTTCAGGCCACAACACAGCACCTTCTCCTTGACTGTCATCAAGCCCAAGCCTGGACAAAAACTCTCCCTTTGTCACTTTAAATACAGCTAAAATAAGCTAGAACTTCTAATGCTCCCAAACACAGAAAGAACAAAAGAGAAATAAACAGAGAGAGTACATGGAATATAAACAGTATGGTTTATAAAGCACAGGCCTTATCTAGCTAATTTGATCTTAGGTATTTGGCAGCTCCCACCCTTCCATAAAACTCCAGGGAAAGCCTTTCCTTTGTCCCTTTCTGCCCAGCTGGTCATCAGCATTTGGAAGTGCCCTTGGTCCTGCTGATTCTGAGAGGCCTTGATTAGTTTCCCAATCTTTTCTCCTCCTCAGACCTAACCTTTGATTTTGAGAATGTGTGTGTTCCCCGGGTGATGGATAGCAGGCAAGAGCAAGACTCTTATAGGGTCCTCAGCCTTCAGCCCCAAGCTGTCGCTTCACCCTTTAAAGACCAGCTGTATGGAGCCATCTTCTTCATAGGGGTTGGCATGACTTCCCAGTCATGATCACCTGAAACCCAACATGGACTGAGCCCAAGAGTTTGTTATCTTCAATACTGGGCAATGCTTCTCCATCCCTGAGTCCCTTAGACCCAGAGTTGCCTACAGCCATCTGCCCTCAAACCCGGGTCCCCATGCAAGTTTGGCACTTCAGTAACAAGAAAGGTCTCAAATTAGTAATTGTTCCATGTTCTACTCAGTGTATCTTAAAAACATTTAGCTAAGCCCAGAAGCCAGTGCCTTATTTAAGAGTTTCAACATCAAACACTAAAATCTTTGTGTGTGAATTTCCACCGTTATATGTAATATGTAATTTGCTATAAATATTGATCTCCAGAGAATCACTTTAAAGAAACTTTGGGTGACTCGGCCCATCTGAGTAATAATAAAACAGAAAATGAAATCTTCTGACATTTACATAATACACTAAAGGAGTGAAATGCGTGAGCTGTGACATAAAATTTTTGTTTTTTTTCACCACCTGTTCAAACCTGTTCTACAAAGTTAAAATGTTAGTTAGGCCGATGCCTTTAATTTTCCAGTAACTCTCAGAAAACAGAAGTCACACTGTGCTCGGACATTGCCAGATATATTATTTGGCAGCTGCACAGAGGACAGAAGAATAAGAATTCTGCTTCTAGCCTCTCCTAGACACTTGAAGTGGGTGACCAGACAAGAATCACAAAGCTGATCTTGATCCCATCCTTGGTCATCTATTAAGAGTGGGTTTAGAGAGTGATTCTTCCTGCTCCAACAGTCTGCTTTGGAGCATGGAAATACAGCTCCAAAGAATGACTCCATTTGGGTAGTCAACTATATTTAAATAGAACCTAGAAAGGTCTAGAAGAAAATAAGCTTGCATTTCCAGTCTCTCTCTTCCCAAAAGTTATTAAAATAACCAATGATTTTCACACCAGCTAATGTGCTCACTTTTTATCTTTGCTTAATTGTACCTGAAATGAGCTGATGCACTTCTCATATTGATAAGAAACCAATCGCTCTTTCCTTTACTTAGCTTTAACATCTGAGGTAAGTACACTGAGCCTCTGGTCCCTTCCTAAGGAGGCCATTTATAGAGATTTTCATGCCATGGTGACTCACCTACTAGTTCTGTATTAGAATAACCAACTCTTCACCAATTGGCTAGTATACTGCAAGTGTCTGTTTGCACCTTAGGGTCTATGTGAGCCTTATCTCTTTGGTTTGATAATCCCAAGTATTCTCATTTCTCAAAAAGTTTTAAAAATAGACAGGGCTTTGCCAGTGAGTTCTATACTGGATCTCTGAACAAATGTCTTTTCACTAGGCCACCAAAGGTTGAAAAGTAGTTGGTAAAGAAGCAAAAAGGAAAGTGAGCAAAATGGAGGAATTTCTGGGTATAGTAGCAGCACTTAGAAGGCTAAGATAGGGTATTGCAAGTTTTAGGCCAGCCTGGGCTATATAGCAAGACCCTGTATAAAAACAAGAGGGGGGTGGGAGAGGTACAAAAAAGAGATAAAGGGAAGAAAGGGAGAGAGCAAGAGAAAAGGAAGAAATTAGAGAAAGTATAAAGAGGTTGCTAAAATATATGAACTAGAAGTTGTTAGAGGCTACTCATCTTCTCATGGCCTTTGGGGTGGTTTGAAGTGACTCTTGCGGTTGGTCTGAACCTTTACCAGTTATCACTGGACATCAAACTCTTTCTGATTGTTTAGTATGATTCCTCCACTATGGACACAAAGGTGGAACCGAGAGCAACGAATTACACATCTCAGCACTGAAGAAGATATCAAGTCAGGGAGTAGTATACTAAGTGCAGGATCACTAAGTCAGCTAAGCAATGGTAATGGGTGTATGGATCAGCTAACCACATATCCTCAGGCTTGTAAAGTACAGTTTGAGTAATCATCCCATGAATAGGATAGGTATGAATCGGTAAAGGATCAGAGTTAAGAGTATTGTGGACCAGTAGCTATCACTATGGCAGCTATGGGACTACAGTAGCATCAAAAATCACCTAAGGAAATTTGAGTATAGATTCCTATACCAAAGCTTTCTCGATTCTCATTCAGAAGACCTAGGGTATTTTGAGTAATTGCTGAAAATACCTAAGGTATTTTCAGTAATATGCCCAGCTCTGCTGAAAACCCTCTGCTGTTGACAGCATAAGAGATATCCTCAAATGGAGAAGCATGGGTCTGGGCATGATAATATGTATTCATTATATTAAACCCTCTACCTCTTTTATCATTGACAGTAAACTTGAAGAACTGGTCCATTTCTTACAAGTCATGTATCCCAAACTGTGTCGGCACTGGCAAGTGATCTGGATGATGGCTGCAGTGCTGCTGGTCTTAACTATTGTGCTGGGGCTCTACAATTCCTATAACTCTTGTGTGGAGCAGGCTGATGGGCCTCTTGGAAGATCCACCTGCTCGGCAGCCCAGAGAGAGTCCTGGTGGAGCTCAGGACTCCAGCATGAGCAGCCTACAGAACAGTAGAAAGCCTCATTCTCATCAAGCCCTGCTCCAGTGGATTCAGCTCACCACCCAGTCCCCAAGTATGGTGTGTCACATCCAGATGTGAACATGCTGCCACCCATCTCATCATGGAATGAGGAGGGATTTTTTTTTCACACTCAACACCTATTTTTGGAGTAGAAATAGTGTGAGCTATTCACACACAGTAATTAGATGTTCTCGGAAGATCGACACAACTGTCCTGGGAGTGCATCTGGTGGATGAAGAAGTGACCTTGACCAAGGAACAACCCTGTTCCTAGCTCAGGTGGTGAGGGAGAGCTGAACCATCTTCACCAGGGGGACAGTGAGATGCTCATTGTTGGCATTTTCCTCCTCGCGGTGGCTAACGGGAAGACATGTGCTTGACAGCTAATGCTGACCCTAAAGATCACACCTGGAATGGGAGTATCTTCCCATTTCCCATCTCATTTTCCGTGGTTATCCTTCAGCCTCCCCTTCTCCCATTTGGAAGCATAGTTTCTTTTCACAGAGTAGAAAGGTTTCTCAGAAAAAAAAATATACTGTCTAGGCTGAATTTAGCTCAGTGCTTGAAATGAAATGGAAAGATGTAAATTAATATATATGCATCTATACACATTCAAAATACACATGACATGCATGTACACAAAGCTAACAACCCTCTGGGGTGTGTGATCTGGAGCAATAAGATACTTGTCAAGCCCATCCAAGTGTGGGACAGTCATGGGACACCTGCATTGTGTGCTCTCCACATGGACTGAAGTTTGACACTAAAACTCATGGCTTCAATGGCATATTTTAATGCCAATTCCAAGCTGCTGTACAGCACCTTCTGTTTTCCATGTGTTTCTTCACTTCAAAAGTGATTCTATACAGTTGGCCTTCCTCTTGGGTAAGCAAGAAGAAATGGTATGCACTCAGCTTTTCTCACTCTGTGTGTTTCAGGCACACCTTTAGACTTCAGTTCACACTAGATTTCTAACCCAAGTGGATGCTTCAAAGGGTTCCCTGGGGGATGGGAATTTGATTTAGTGGTAGAGTGCTCACCTAGCATGCATGAAGCCCTGGGTTTGATTCCTCAGTACCACATAAGCATAAAAAGCCAGAAGTGACAGTGTGTCTCAAGTGGCAGAGTGCTAGCCTTGAGCAAAAGAAGCTCAGGGATAGTGCCAGGCCCTGAGTTCAAGCCCCAGGAATGGCAAAAAGGGCGGGGGTTCCCCCTGCTCAGTATATAGCGGAAGGAGCACATCTTCTTGCCAATTTAATGTCTCCCTTCCTGGTTTTCAGCTATTGTCTTCGCTTTAATCTTTATCAGTTTAGACGCTGCTGGTTTCTATGGGGTTTCTGTTGTAGTTGTTTTTGGTTTTGTTCTGATAGAGTTTGCTTTTGTTGCCCACACACCTAGAACTTACTATGAGTCAAGCACCATCTCAGTATCATGTAAGCATTCATTTAGTCATCAAGAAAAAAAGCAACCTCAGAGATGTATACTACTCTTCCCATTTTCAGATAAGGAAACAAGACACAAAACAAGAAAGTTGTCAAGCACACACGGCTTGATGTGGAACAGCATTCATAGAGACCTGGCTGTGCCCTTGACCCCTCTGCTGTGCCGCCTTCTCCACTGGTCCTCTAGCTAGATGCAGTCCACACTGGCCTCACACCCCCAATTAGCCCTCAGCTACCCCAGACCATCTCTGGTTCTCCAAACTGTCGCTCTCACTGTTCTGAACTTCCTGAGTTTTTCTCCTGCCAGTCTTTTTTCATCTGGCCAATCTTTTTTTTTGGGGGGGGGAGTCTGGTCATGGGGCCTGAACTCTGGGCCTGGGCACTGTCCCTCAGCTCTTCAGCTCAAGGCTAGCACTCTACCACTTGAGCCACAGCACCACTACTGGCTTTTTTCTTTTTGCTTATGTAGTGCTGAGGAATCGAACCCAGGGCCTCAGGCATGCAAGGCAAGCACTCTACCACTGAGCCACCTTCCCAGCCCCATCTGGCCGATCTTGAAGGCCAAGTGTAAACAGTTTGGTGACCTTCTTCCCCACTTCTATCATACCCAACATAATGGGTCACCACCTCTGTGCTTTCCAGCATTTGTTAAGTATTTTCATTATTGACCTCTACCTATAGTTTGTTACCATAATTTATTTATGTATCTGTCTCCCTGGGCATTCTTCTTCAAAGACAAGAACCATATCTTACCCATCTCTTGGGTAGGTGCCTAACATGGTGGTGTCAGTAAATGTTGGACACGAGAATAAATGAACAAATGTCAGAACAAGAACATGCAAGGTGGTGGTGGGCAGCCTGAGACAAATGATATTTTATGGAGTTTCCCAGTACCAACACCATCTCTTAGAGAAGTCACATCTTTCTTGTGACCTCAGCTTGTTCTAATAGTTCTCTAATCTATGTGAGCACAGGAATAAAAAACAGATTAGCAGCTGAAGGACTGTGTTCAATGCAGTCACTCTCTTCAGAGGACCCCCCACCCCTAGACAAGGGGTGTTCCATAAACAACATGTTTATTGAAGTGGCATCTTTTACAATGGCTGGAAAATGACTGAGAGAGAAGCCTGCCAGAATTGCCCAAGGATGTGCCATTAAGGTGAAGAGGAATAGAGATACTTAGGGGCATGAGTGGATGGTTTAACTGGTCTCTTCCACAGGGACCAGACACTACAGAAGGAGCTTTAGTTAATGAGCCCCTCAGAGCCAAAGGCGGGCTGTGAATGGAGACCTAGAGAGAGAGAGCAGCTGTAGGCCAGGAGTCCAGGTGGCCAATGTCCAATCTCAGCCTACTTCAATGCAGACCAGGCTGAGCTGGCTCATTGTCCACAACTTCCAACCCCTGTTCCTAGGTAAGATAGAGGCAAACAGCAGGCGGAATGAGCTTTTGCACCTCCAACTGGCCCTACAGGGAGGTCTGCAGGAGTACATCAGGCCTCACCCACACTACTCCATTATGAGTAAGGGAGGTCAAAGAAAAGGCAGGATAAGGTAGTCATTTTACAAGGGTATAGCTGGAAAAGTACTCATTGGTCTATGTGAAAATGAAAGCTCAACCTGAAGCAGTTGCAGCCTCTGCCAAAGCAGCTGTGAAATGGAAACAGGCCTTGTAGTTTCACCCCAACATTGACCTGAAAAAAAAATTTGCCTCTGGAACATGACATTTCTGTTTAGCCCTACAAGGCTGGTCACCTATGGTCAGTCGCAAAATGATGTGTTGTTTGCAGGGTGGTTGAGTCACCTAAAAGGACCTTCACTTTCTGGCTGCCACAAAATCATTTGTATTGTTTTCCTTGTACAGCATGGCAGAAGGAATGGCGGGGGAGGGGGGGGAGGAGGTTGTTTTTGTGGGTCACTGGCTCTCAGTCCCTAAGGTTAAGCCTCACAGAGGTGTGCCAGCATTGAACTGTAGTGTTACATACCTGAGTTTGAAAATAAAAAAAAAGTATTTCCAAACTTTGGACAGCAGTCAAATGACTCCTCATTCCATACAGTGGAGCCACAGATCACTACAACCCTGAATTGTATGCCCTTGGAGATCAGTGCTTCCAGAACCAGGGCAGAGGCCCCAGCCAGTGGATCACTGTTCTCTAGACTCCCTCACAAGGGCTGGAACAACCTTTCTTCATCCCTTGCCCCTCCCTGGGCCTCATTTCCCATACCTTCCTATGAGGTCTAAAGTATAATACATTCTGTTTTGATAGACTATTAAGTTTTCACCAAATCCTATTTTCACAGCTCTCCTGAATTTTTGGTCTTTCTTGAAGCAGATACTGGGGAATGTAAATTTCTGTCTCTACTTCCCTAAAAACAAACTCATGCACAATACTCAGCATTTTCAATTTTTGGGGGGGCGGGTCTGGTCGTGGGGCCTGAACTCTGGGCCTGGGTGCTGTCCCTCAGCTCTTCAGCTCAAGGCTAGCGCTCTACCACTTGAGCCACCGCACCATTTTGGCTTTTTTTTCTGCTTATGTGGTGCTGAAGAATCGAACACAGGGCTTCAGGCATGCAAGGCAAGCACTCTACCACTGAGCCATCTTCCCAGCCCTCAATTTTTTTTTTCTTTTTCAATATTGAAGGTTGGATTCAAGGCTTTAGGCTTTCCAGGCAGGGCTATGACTTGATCTATGCCTCCATCCATGTTTGCTTTTATTATTTTTCAAATAGGAGTTCAGTTTAATGCCTGGATTGACCTGGACCATGATCTCTTTTGTGTTTTACTCATAGGCTGGGATGATAGGTGCTCACCATAATGCCTAGCTTTCTATTGGTTGAGATGGGGGTCTCACACATTTTTTGCCCAGGCTGGCCTTGAATCTCAATCCTCTGGATCTCTGCCTACAGAGTAGCTTTGATTACAGGAACGAACTACCATACCCAGCCTTACCACTCTTTTTATTTCCTTCTTTGCCTACCAAAATCTGAGGATTCTGTTGAGGTCTCTGAAACTTGAACCAGGATTTTTTTTTCTGCCTAAGTCTTGAACTGGGTGCTGTCCCTGAGGTTCATTTGCTCTATCACTTGAGCCACAGCTCCATTTCCATTTTGGGGGGCGGTGTATGTGAAAGTTTAATGATGGTAAGAGTCTCATAGACTTTTCTGCCCAAGCTGGTTTTGAATCCTAGCTACTCAGATCTCAGCCTCCTGAGTAGCTAGGATTACAGGCATGAGCCACTGGTGCCCAGCTAGAACCAGGATCTTCGACAGCTAAAGCTAATGAGATTCAGGAATGTTTGTGATAGCTGGGCTACTCTGACTAATATATATATATATATATGAACCCCGAATAAGGACCTTTAGTTACAAGATCGCAAAATATGAGGAAGTGGCTTATCAGCTAAGTATCACAAAACTAATATTAGGAACTGGAAGGTCGTGAACCATGTTGTGAATAAAACAAAATATGAAGTCTTGCCCACAATAACTTGAAGGGCCACCTATGGGCTGCCTACAGCTCTAAGCATGGTTGGAAGAAATCAGATGTTAGACTATGTGAACTTCTGTTGGTTGTTTTGATGAGATATTGTAAGAAACTTGTGAAAGAATGAGCCACTGAGAAGTAGAAATGAAAGAATATAGAGAATCAGAAATTTGAGAGATCGAAGTATTAGAACACCTGGCTTCTTTTAAATTCCAAACACGTTTTGTTAAAAAACAAACAAACTTTAAACAAAACAAAAGAACTGATAAAATGAAGATGTAAGTATTCGTCTCAGAGAGATTCAGGATCTAAGCAAGGATAGATAAACAAGATTGCTAACAATGCCTCCCAAAGAGTAGGCAACACCTGGAGCCTTTAAATATGAGCTGTAACTCCTGGAACAATCTCATCACACTGTACAGGTAGCCTTGAGGATCGTCCAGGTGGCCCCATGGGACCCTATAAGCCTTAGCAGACAGTTTGCTCTGGTTAGAGTAGAAGGGGAAATCAGAGGATGAGGATTATGAGAAAGACTCAGTGTGCCGTGCTGTTTTTGTTGTTGTTTTGTTTTGTTTTCTCGGTCGTGGGGCCTGCACTCTGGGCCTGGGTGCTGTCCCTCAGCTCTTCAGCTCAAGGCTAGCGCTCTACCACTGGAGCCATAGAGCCACTTCCTGCTTTTTCTGCTTATGTGTTGCTGAGGAATCAAACCCAGGGCCTCATGCATGCAAGGCAAGCACTCTTCCACTAAGCCACATTCCCAGCCTCCGTGAGACTCATCTCCAATTAACCACCAGAAAACTAAAAGTGGAGAACTGTGGGCTCAAAGTGGTAGAGTACTAGCCTTGAGCAAAAGAGGTCAGAGACTATGCCTAGGCCCTGAGTTCAAGACCCATGATCAACCAAAAAAGAAAAAATTCTACTATGTACCTGAATTAGTTTGCAAATACAGTCTTCCCCAGAGCCTCTAGGTATGAGTCTAGCCCAGCGGACACTTTGATTTTAGTGTGGTGAGAACCAGAGTTGAGGACCTAGCTGAGCTACCCAGACTTCTGACTCACAGGAACTAAGATTCAAAAATAGATGTTATTTAAAATTGCTTCCCAAAGACATACCACTCCAATCCTTTAAGGCACTAATTCTGTAGTAATGTGTTATTCATGGTTGTATTAGTCATAATACAACCTGGCAAAAAATCAATAAATAATCAACCAATACCTGTAACAGGCCCCCGATACTTTTTGAGGTGCTGAGAATTGAGCACAAGGTCTTGGACATGCGAGGCAAGTGCTCTGTCACTGAGTTACATCCTCATCCCTTGCTTTTGTTAAAAAAAATAATAATAAAAGGGAGAAGTGTGTCTCTATGAATCCCAGCTGGTCTTGAATTCATCAATTGTTCTGACTTTGCTTCTCCAGTGCTGGGATTACAGGTGTATACCACTATGACCACCTAAAAACAAAACAAGGTTTATTTAGCTCACAGTGCTATGGGTTCAAGAACATAGTTCTGCATAACTCAATTCTGGAAAGGGCCTCGTGGTAGCCTAACATCATGTGACCAGAAAGGTAAACTGTAGCAAAGTCCACACTGTGTTCACCACCTTGTATTTCCTTTTATGGTTAGCATGAAGCTAGATTGGAACTTCTTTGTAGTCAGGTTGAAACATGGGAGAAGGTTCTGGCCAATGAACTACTGGTAGAAGTGCTATGTCCCAGGCTTTCTTAAAATGGCAAACACTCTTTGGTAATATTTTCTTTATGGCTCTCCACTTCAGCTCTTATTGCTTGAGAACAGCCTAGTCATGGGTGAGAGAGTACCATGTGCCTAAACATCCTCACTTAACAAGACAGAGAGTTCCAATCCAGAATTTCTGAAGGAATAGTAATGGAGGATGTGAGTTTCATCAAAGTGTGTGCATGTATGGAAATAATCACAAACGATACCCCTTTGTACAATTAATATACACTGATAAAAATAATGATGAAAATAATAAAATGAAAAATAATAATAAAAATGAAAAACAATGTCCAAAGGGAATTTCTAAAAGGGAAGCAAAGCACATTCCAATGATGACATCATTCAATGAAGATATAAAAATAAGATTGTTAGGCATAGGACATGGCTCAAGTGGTAAAGAAGTTTGCCTAGCTAGCATGAGCCCATGTTCCTAAACCCCAGTACTTCAAAAAAAATTTAAAGATTGTTTCCACTTCCAGAAATTCATTATTAAGAATCAACACTATGAGGGAAACTCCCTTTATCCAGATACCCATCCTGCAGAATCAAGTGTCTTCTCATTTCTCATAAGCTATTTCTCCTGTGTTGCCACCCATGATGTATTTTTCTCATCCCGTCTTCCTTCTTTTTCTTTTTTAAAAAATAACTTGAAATCTAGCTTCCATTCATACATGGTGTTAGGCATTAGAACAACTATGAAGATAAGATCTTGCCTCTCTGTCTGCTACTATAATGTTAGAATCTTATGGGTTTTTGTTTGTTTATTTTCTTTTGTTACCAGCCCTAGGGCTTGAGCTTGGGGCCTCACTTTCTCCCTTAGCTTTTTCACTCAAGGCTGGTGCTCTAACATTTAAGCCACACCCCACTGCCAGCTGTATGCTGGTTAATTGGAGATAAGAGGTTTTCATATTTGTCTGTCCTGGCTGGCTTCAAACCTTATATTCAGATCTCAGCTGCCTGAGTAGCTAGGGCTAGGGGCATGAGCCTGTAATAATGTATGTAATTATGTAGTCATCTGTGTTTTTGAAGCACTGGAAGCCAAACTTGTGCTTGCATAAGTAATGCAACATGCAGTGGAGAGCATTAGGGGCTTTTCCCCTAGCCTCTTAGAAGTTCTTTATGCTTGTACAGAACAGATTCTTTTTTATTATTGGTATTGTCTGCATAGATATATAACTTCATGATCAATTCCATTTATATAGACTAGAACTAATTATCCACACAGTATTCCTATGGAAGACAATCATTTTGGAGAAAACTCACAAACTGGTAGTCCTGGGATTTGAAATCAGAGCCTTATACTTGACACGAAGGTGCTCTCCTCTTGAGCCAAACCTTGGTCCAAAAAAAAAATCCTCACATTTTTTTTAAAGCCCTGTTCACAAGCCAAGATTCCATGATTACCTGGAGGGCAAAACCCTTGAAAATCTACTTGGGAAAACATAGAGAGTACACTGCTGTTCCAAGTACAGATATTCCTCACATTCCTCAAGGGAGAAGGGAAGTCTTAGCTGAATATTGGCCTGCCAGAACGTAACAGAAATTATTAAAATAAAAATGATGAAAAGAACCCCTGTGGTGTTTATTATTGTAAAGTCAAAAAGTCTTTTCTAAGGCATAAAATGAGTAGCTTTTTAATTTACCCTCTGTGTTTTATGTAGGTTTTTTGGTTTTGTTTTTTTGAAAAAGGAATTCCCCATATTAGTAGTGAGATTTCCAACCTAGATAAAACATCCCAGAGAGAGGCATGGTATCAAGTGGGCATTTACTCTCAGGAGCTTTCATTTCTCCACACGTCACAGGGCAATGCAGATGAAGAGGAGAAAAACCATCCCTGATGGTCAAAGGGGAAAGAAACACAGCCGGACTCCATCTCCTTTAGAGACAGAGACTTTCCAAGGAATGTATGGGTGAATGGGTTTTGCAAACAATAACTGTGAATGGTGTGAGAACTGAGCCCCTGGGGAAAGCCAGTGTCAGGGAATTTGGGAAGTAGGAAAACCTTCAGCAGCTCACACTGTGCTATCTGCCTTCCTCATTTGTGTGTGTTCTGAGTCAGCATTAGCTGAATTTTCCAGAAAGCCATCCACAAAGTACAGCCTGGGCATTCAAGGGACGTCACTCATTTCCCCCAAGTGACCTTGACAAGTCAGAAGCCTGAAAGCAGGGAAATCCGGATGTCTCCATTATGAAGTGAAACAGTGGGAGCTTCAGCATATTTCCAGAACTCTCCATCCAGCCTGGTGATTGAGCATCTGCTTCCTCACTGCCAGTAGCCATCTGCACAGCTTCCCTGGCTCTAAGGGGTTTGTACAATGGCCAAGTACATCTGTTTGCTGTGGCTCCTCACCTCTATCTGGACCACTGGGATCCTGGTTCAAGGCTCCATCTCAGTTCAAGGTACGTTCTTTTGCCAAATTTCCAAATAAGAGACACAAGGTCTCAGCCCACTGTGCTCTTGACCATAGATTGCTGGGAATGGGGAGACACTCAAGGTCAGCTAAAGAGACTCAAGGTCAGTGGAACATCTAATTGGTAGTATTGATCCATCAGAAATGTTTCCACATAACATCAACTTTCCCAAATGAGTTGTATTCACCTTTACATAACTTTGGATTTTATCTTTGGGTATAGTATATTTTCAGTAATGTTATCTGGAAATTACAGGTGAGAAGTTACTCATTTTTCAGAGTGTTTTATTCAAGAAACAAAGCCAGGGTGCGTGTGGGTCATGCCTGTTATCCTGGCTCCTCCAAAGACTGAGATCTGAGGGCCACAGTTCAAAGCCAGCCTGAGCAGACAAATCCAGGAGAATCTTGTCTGCAATTAGCCAGCAAAAAAAAAAGCAAACAGTGGTTGGAAAAACAACCATCAAGCTTGTGGGGAAAAATGGGTAACATTTCGTAAATATTGGCCTATTTTATGTTTCTCAAAGTGCTTATATAATTACATTAATTTCAAGTTTACTATATTATAAAATGAAATGCAATTTTTAATTCACAGTAAATTTAATATATAGTAAATTAACTGAAAGAATTCTGTAAAAAAAGTTCAGGTTTGATAATTTGCCATTAGTCCCTAACCAAAGGAATGATATCCAGGAATTTCTAGGCTTTTCAAATGTCTACACAGAAGCCTCATTCTGCACTGTAGGCAAAAAGTGTAACCACAAATCACTTATTACAGCTCTAGGCAAAGGAAGCCCTGAGTGCTTTCATTAAAGGAAGATTATCCTTCCTCTATTAGAAGATGCCCTGTGATAGAAGTATGTCAGGACAGACATTCAGAGTTGTTTCCTCTGCAGTAATATTTTAATTTTTTAAGGGAGACTGGAGTTATATGGTTGCTTTTTTCTCACCAAATAGCAGAACTATTAATTTTTTTTTCTTTTTTTCTGGTCTTGGGGCTTGAACTCAGAGCCTGGATGCTGTCCCTGACCCTCTTTGTGTTCAAGGCTAGCGTTCTACCACTTGAGCTACAGCACCACTCCTGGCTCTTTTGAGTAGTTTGTTGGAGATAAGGGTCTCAAGGGGACTTTTCTGCTTGGGCTGGCTTCTAATTGCAATTCTCTGATCTCAGACTCCTGAGCAGCTACGATTATAGCATGAACCACTGACCCCTGGCTCAAAACTATTACTTTTAAGTCATTCCTTAGAGATACTATTCCCATTTCCCAACAACTCTGCCATTATTCAAACTCTTTTGGCAGTCATACTTTGACAATTACTTCCTCACACCCTGCCCCATCCTCCACAATGGCAGTGTTTTCCTAAGAAAAGAAAAGTTTGGAAGAGCAGCAGGGTCCCCAGTCATGATAGTGGAAGAGTGGGGAAGAAGATGGGAACTTTTTTGAGGGCCTGTTATATAGAGATACAGAGTTAGGTATACACCCATGGTTTTATTTAACCCTCTCAAAAACTTAGCATTGAATTCTGTTCTGATTCTTAATCACATACTGCTTCAACTACACTTACTTTTTCCTTTCCTTCCCCCCTTTCCCTTCCTTCCTTCCTTTTCTTTCTTTCTTTCTTTCTTTTCCTTCCTTCCTGTCTTCTTTTCTCTTTCTTTCTTTTCTTCTTTCTTTCTTTCTTTCATTCTTGTGGTACTAGGGCTTGAATACAGGGTCTTGTGCACTCTACTTCTTGAGCCATGGTTCTAACCCTTTTATACTTTAGTTTAGTTTTGTTTTGTTTTGTTTTTGTCAGTTGTGGGTCTTGAACTCTGGGCCTGGGCACTGTCCCTCAGCTCTTTAGCTCAAGGCTAGTGCTCTACCACTTGAGCCACAGCGCCACTTCTGGTTTTCTGTAGTTTATTAGAGATGAGTCTTAGGGACATACGTGTCCAGGCTGGCTTTGAACTGTGATCCTCAGATCTCAGCCTCCTGAGTAGCTAGGATTATGGGTGTGAGCCACGGGCACCTGGCTAGGTTTTTTGTTTTGTTTTGTTTTGTTGATAAAGTCTCTCATTGTTTCCTCAGGCCATTCTCAGACTTTAATTATCTTCCTTGTGCCTCCTATGAGCAGTGATTAATGTATACCACGATGCCCAGCTTGTTTATAAATATAGAGTCTAACTTTTTACTTAGGCTGATCTTGAACTGCAGTCCTCTAAATCTTTGCCTCCAAAGCAGCTTGGATTATAAACATATTTGCTGTTTACATAGAAGTCTTAAGAAAGGAGTTGCTGGAGTACCCCCTGTGAACTCCAGCTTTGTATAATTAGCTATAAACACAATAGGAGAGCTAAAATTAATTTAATTAATTACTTTTATTTAAAAGTTTAACTGCTTTCTATGGATCCAGCCTCTGTTGGCTAGATTTACTTAATTTAATTCTGAGTAAAAATCTGGGAAAATATAATCATCTATTACAGATAGCAATACTAATTTGTCCAACCAATTAACAATAGCAGAAATATCTAAAACCATATTTATTCTCCCAGAATAGGTACATCATTATTCTTTTTTTTTTTTGAGATTAAGGCTTGCTAATTTTTTTCCTGCCTCAGCCTCCTGAATAGCAGGGGTTACGGGCATGAGCCGCCACACTGGCTCCAAATAATATTTAAAGATCAGTGTGATAGCAAGAATAGTAAAACTGCTTTATAGTGTAATAAATAACCCCCCTCTGAAGCCAACTTCCAAAGAAGCACCATGAGCAATAGCAGGGCTCTGAGATAAATAGGCAAAATTCCAAGACAGTTACATGTGTCCTAATGGACGATTGTGTGTGTGTGTGTGTGTGTGTGTGTGTGTGTGTGTCTGTCTGTCTGTCTGTCTGTCTGTCTCCCTATAGCATAGTAGTAGAAAACAGTGCAGAATCTCAGTTAAGAACTGAAGTTTTGGAGGCAGAGAACAAGAAGATCATAGTTCCAGGCCAGCATAAGCAGAGCAATTTGTGAGACCTTATCTCAAAAAAGAAAAAAAAATAGCAAAAAGCAAGGCTAGAGACTTAGGTGTGGTAGAATGCCATACTGGCAAGCACAAGGCCCTAACCTCAAATCCTAGTATTGCCATGAAGAAGAAAAACGAGAGGCAAAATTGGGTTTGTGCCCCTAATCTACCCCCTAAATATCTCTATGTGAGCTTGGAAAAATGCTTATTTTCTCCTCGAGCCTCAGTTTTCTCTAAAAGAGGCAAGGTTAGGCACAGAGTGACAGCAGTAGGCCATAGGTGTTGGAGTGACTATGAGTACAAATGACAGTATTGCTGCTGGTCTGTCTTCTCACCTATACACCATCATTCCTATTGAAATGCTGGTGAGAGAAGAGTCTGGAAGCTAGCAACCATTCCCTAATCCTGTGCCTCAGAGACAAACCCCTTCCACTCCCCCCTGCTCCACAACACAGCAACAGCACACAGAGGACTTTGGAATGTTCTTTCTATGTTTGTTAGAAGAAACTTCCCTTAAATACCCACAAGAAAGTTATGGAGGTGTTTAAGCATTGACTCCACAGAATTTTCTGCACAGCAATTGTTGGGGAGATGGAAACACCCTCTGTTGGCTTTCAGTGGATGAGGCTCTGAGCTTCAATACAGTGTACTGTGGCAGTTTCATACAGAACTATAAATCCTGGAACCTGGAAGGAAAGGTTCAAAAGGTCTTCTAGGTCCATTAGATTGTGTGTAAAAAATATTATTCACAGCCTTAACATTTCAACCACCTCCATTTCCCGTGGAAGACCAATCAGTAACTCACTAAATCCAAAATGCTCTGAAGATAACATATGATGATAGTTTATCAATGCTTACTTATCAATGTCTATTATGCACCCAGCACTGGGCTAAGCTTTTTTTTTTTTTTTTCTGTTCCTGGTGTTTGAACTCTGGGCCTAGGTGCTGTCCCTGAGCTTCTTTGGCTCAAGGCCAACACACTACCACTTGAGCCACAGCACCACTTCAGCTTTTTCTGAGTTGGAGGTAAGAGTCTCACAGACTTTCCTGCCTGGGATGGCGTCAAACAATAATCCTCACATCTCAACCTTGTGAGCAGCTAGGATTACAGACATGAGCCACCTGCACGAGGTTTGGGCTAAGCATTTTTGTTAGAACTCTTTGGCTTAACTCTCATTCTCCAATGGGGGAGATAGTGTTCCACTTTATATTACAAATAAGAAACAGGTTTAAAGAGATAAAGCAACTAGCCTACAGTTACAGAGCTAGCAAACAACACAGGTGAAATCCAAGCACCAGATCTGACTCTAAAATTCTACTTCCTAGCAATGGGCCAGTGGCTCATGTCCTGTAATCTTAGCTACTCAGGAAACTGAGATCTGAGGATCATGGTTTGAAGCCATTCCTGGGCAGGAAAGTCTGTGAAACTCTTATTTCCAATAAACTCCCCCCCCCCCAAAGCTGAAAATAGTGGCATGGCTCAAGTGGTAGAGCACTAGCCTTGAGCAAAAGAAGATCAAAAGCAGCACCCAGGCTCTAAGTTCAAGCCCCAGGACTAGAAAAAATAAAATTCTCCTTCCTATATTTAGTTTCTCTACCATGCTTGAAAGATTGCCTGCTCAGTTCCTCTAGGAACTTCTGAGTGAGCCTGCCCCCCAATGGCCAGACAAGACTTGGAACTAAAAACTCCCATTCTCTAACAAGTACATCTTATCCCCTTTCAGAAATGGTGGTGTCATCGACCACATTAGTTTGGAGTTATTGCTGGTATTATTAATTATCCTATCAATAAGAGCCTTGAATTTTCTCAGTGTCAGACTTTTATGGATTCTAAACAGGTTTGGAGCAACCTGTATTATCTAGACACCTCCCTCCCCTTCAGGAACTTGAAGGGTTAGCAAAATACCTTCATGAGGGGGATAGGATGGACTCTGATGGGTGAGATTTACAGTGTGAACCAGAGAAACACACTCATCTAACCCAACAGGCTCTCCTTGTGGGAAATTCCTGGCCTGTCTTATTCTAAATCCAGTCCAGCCACACAGACTTTACTACTGCATGGAGACAATGATGCTTTATAGGATCTAGGAACAGACAGCAATAAGCTGAGGATATATGTGCCTTTCTTTGCAGAACTTACCATCTCAGTGCCATGCAGAATTATGGGTGTCACTGTTGTGAGCAAAAAGGCAGATCTGCTGATGAATTTCACGGAAGCCAGTGAGGCCTGTAAGCTGCTGGGACTAACTTTAGCCAGCAAAGACCAGGTTGCAGCAGCACAGAAGTTTGGCTTTGAGACATGCAGGTGAGTAACAGCTGGATTGTCAAATGCTGCCAGAGCTCTTTTGGCAGTGTTTTTGTTGTTGTGGTGGTGGTTGTTTTGTTGTTTTTAGACAGGATCTCACTATATAGCCCACGCTGCCCTTGAACTTGTGATTCACCTATCTCAGCCAGGGGTTTACATGCATGGGACACTAGACCTGGCTTGGTTCTGTCCTTGTTCAACAATAGATTGGTCCATTCATCTAGTGTATGTTCTTTCACAGTTATGGATGGGTTAGAGAACGGTATACTGTCATCCCGAGGATTCTCCCAAACCCCAGGTGTGGGAAGAATGGGATTGGTGTCCTGACTTGGAATGCTCCAGTGAACCGAAAGTTTAAGGCCTACTGTTACAACTCATCTGGTGAGTCAAATCCTCAGCCTCCCCTGTGATAGGTCTTCTCTAACTATCTCTAGCTCTGTCACCTGAGCAGCAGCAGACCTAACCTTAGCAAAGGTCATCTAGTCCTCCCAAGAAGAAGCCTTCACACACACACACACACACACACACACACACACACACACACACACACTTTTTCCCCTTCCCCTTATACTATTTTACTATGACAAACACATGATAATTTACTCAATGTGTTGCAACATATTTTATAATTATTGTTCATTTATTCTTTCAGATGCTCACAAGTCCCAAGTCATCAAGTCAGAGAAGCTTCTACTTGACTTTTACTTTATCCTATTAGGTTTTGAGTAATTCTTTGATTCCTTGCTTCCCAGAACTGTAATGTGTCCTAGATATGGAGATACTTGGTTCTTCAAGGAGCCCTGTTGTTTTTTTTTTAAATGGGAAACTTTCATTAAAAATCAAGATCTGCAAGCTAATTATTTTCATTACCACTGCTTCGCAGTGGTGCTTCTCGGTTAGGTCAGGAAATGTGGGGCAAGACTGAATCTTTAAAAAGTCACTACCCAACTGGGTGCCCAATTTAGTACCCATGGGACTGAGAACTGGAGAGTCACAGTTCAAAGCCAGCCCAGGCAGAAAAGTCCACAAGATTCCATCTCAAATTAACTAGCAAAATGCCATATTGACAGTATGGCTCAAGTGGTAGAATGCCAGCCATGAGCAGATAACCAAATGAGGGTATTGGGGCAGGGAAGGTGGCTCAGTGGTAGAGTGATTGCCTTGCATGCATGAGACCCTGAGTTCGATTCCTCAGCACCACATAAGCAGAAAAAGCCGAAAGTGGTGCTGTGGCTCAAGTGGTAGAGCGCTAGCCTTGAGCTGAAGAGCTGAAGGACAGCGCTCAGGCCGAGTTCAGGCCCCACGACTGACAAAACAAAAAACAAACAAAAACAAATGAGAGTGTAAGGTCCCAGTTATCTCCACAAAAAAAGTAAAAAAAAAAAAAAAAAAAAGCATCACTACCCTATGTGAATGTATTCTCATTTTGAAGTGGATTGGTCTCATTTGCTTCTGGTTGTGATCAATTTTATGGCTTGTCTATTGTCCTATTTTATTTTATTTTTGAATGGGTAAAACACTTATATGGCTCAATGTCCAAAATGTACTTTTTAAAAAAGTAGTGAGAGGAGTCTTCCCTCTAGTCCTCCTGTACTGTTTCTACTCATGACTCACCCTTCCCACTCACTGCTGGTTTATCCCTCCAAGTTGTTTTGTGAATAAAGGAAGGGGGACAGGGAGTGTCTTGTTTCCTTTTCTTACAAAAACACTAGCATGCCATAGCTAGTGCTTTGCATGTGACTTTTTTCTACTTACTCCTAGAAATTACCCTGTATCAATCGATGGAGACAGCTCTCATTTTTTCAGCATCATTTTTTTTATGGATTCCAATGAATGGCTCTATTCTATTCAGCCAGTATTCCATTAATGGCTTTTTGTACTGTTGCTAGACCTTCTGAGACCTAAATTTTAGGATCTGATGTTTCTGGTATCTCTCATTTCTATAAAAATATAACCATCTTCTTCTTTGCTCCAGAATTATATCCCTTCCCTCTGCAACTCATCTTTCCTACACTTCCACTGGTAGTCACATTACTCCTCTGCTCCACAGCCTTGGACTACTTCCCATTTGAGAATTTATGTCATAAATTGTGAGGTCTTTTGTACATAAAAGTGAATGTATATGAAAACTTCTCTCTCCTATAGAATAAATTCCAGATTTGTTAACATGGCAAGTATAAATTTTGGTCCTCTACCACTGACATTCTCTCTCTTCCTAGTCTTGTTTACTTCTTACACTTGTTCATATTCTCAGTCTCTGTCTCTGTGTCTGTCTGCCTGCCTGCCTGCCTGCCTGCCTGCCTGTCTGCCTGTCTGTCTGTCTGTCTGTCTGTCTCTCTCTCTCTCACACACACACACACACACACACAAACACACACACACCCCATTCAATCTGAACTTACTATATTTCTTGTAATATTCCTCATCTAATTCTACTTCCTAACTTCTGGATTCTTACCTCACGCATTCCTATTGACTGGGATATCTTATTCCCTCTTTGATACCAAATGAGTTACTGCTCTATTTTGGCCATCCTGGCCTTTTTATTCATTGAATGGGCTCAGTTCATCCAATCTCTCTCTGCCTCTTGTACTTTCTGTTCCCTTTACTTAAAATGTTTTTGTCCTAGATCTTCAATGACTGGCTACTTTCCACCATTCAGTTCTCAGCTAAGATGTCACCTCCCTGAGAGACCTCTTACCACCTTCTCCAAAGTATCCCTCATCATCCACCCTCATCAGTTTAATCCACTTCTGTTGGTTTTATTTTTTCTGGATTATTTTTTATTAGCTTTATCCTTCCAAATGCATGTATACCCCTTAAAAACAGGGATTCTAGGAGTTGGGGATTTGGCTTAGTGGAAGAGCACTTGCCTAACAAGTACAAGGTCCTGAGTTTGGTCTTCAGCTCTGCAGAACAATCAAACCAACACACACACACACACACACACACACTCAGAGAGAGAGAGAGAGAGAGAAGGAGAGAGGGAGGGAAGGAGAGAGGGAGGGAAGGAGAGAGGGGAGGGGGAAATGGACTCTGTCTCCCTTGTTACCTGTGCCTAATACCTCAAAAAGGGCATGAGTACTCCATAACCATTTGCTGTATGAACACACGGGTCCTCCATACTGGATGTAAATGCCTTCTCCTCTGAATCCCTTTTTAAAAATGCTTCCTTACACATTTTTTATGAGTACAGAGAAATTTGTTTTTCATGGATCTGATCCTGAAGTGGCATCATATGTATGGCTTGACATACTTGACATCATATGTATGGCTTCCTCATCTGCTCCTTTTTTCCTTCTTTATCCAATATTTATTGAGTATGTACTATGTGCCAACCACAGAGGACATTCCATGAAAACCAAGTCAGAAAGCTTCCTGCTTCCAGGAAGTTCAGAGTCCAGTGAGGTACAGTGTAACGAGAACTGCCATGAGAGAGGGTATGGAGGGACAAGAACATATGCCCAGGGACTCAATCTAGTCAAAAAGTCAGCATGATGATTCATAGTCTGACACTTGACATCGTCTACTTCACCTTAGGTAGAGTTAGCTAAGTAAAGAGCAAAGAGTTGTAAAGGTGAAGAAAGCATCATGAAGAAGACTGGGATGAGAGAGATGACATGCCAAGGACCTGAAGGGATTTCAACAGGGCAGAAGCAGTGAGTAAAGGCCTGGGCTGATGAGTTTCACAGAGACAGGGGCTGGACCATGTAGGGTCTTGTCAACCAAGCAATCAAGTAACATGATGAGATGTGTGTTTTGGTGAGAGCTTTCTGGCTGCAGCGTAAGAGGCCTGATGGGTAGGGAGACAAGTGGGAAGAATAGCTGAGAGTTTCTTTATGACAATGTCTTGATTCTTCCCTCTCCCAACAGACACGTGGGTGAATTCGTGCCTCCCAGAAACCATCACCACCTTTGATCCCATGTTTGACTCACAAACTGTGACGTACACAGCAGAGCTCACTATGGGCGACAGCACCTCTTCCTCCATATCATCCACTCATTCTACACGTGCTCTGGCTACCACTCCTGCTCCAGTTACCACCTCAATTCCTCGGAAGACAAAACTGATCTGTATCACAGAGGTTTATACAGAAACTAGTTCTGCAGCTACAGAGACAGAACCAACTATTGAAAGTGAAGCAGCATTCAAGAATGAAGTTGCTGGGTTTGGAGGTGAGTGCTTTCTGGTTCTATGTTAGGTGTGGACGTGTGTGTTTATGTACTAAGATGACATAAAATTTAGCCTGTCTTCAGAGAGGTACTCAAATGCAGCCAGTTATAAAGACATAATACGCATTCAACTTTCATAAAGTCAAATCTTAAGGAACAAGCTTCAGATTGTGAGTATAAAAGAGCTTTACTCTTGAAAAATCAAGTCTCTGGTAGCTTACACTTGTTATCCTAGCTAATTAGGAGGCTGAGATCTAGAGGATCACAGTTTGAAGCCAGCCAGGAAGAAAAGTCCAAGAGACTTCATCTTCAAAATCATCAGCAAAAAGCAAGTATAGAAGTGTGGTTCAAGTGGTAGAGCACCAGCCAAGCAAGAAAGCTGATGAAGAATCAGGGCCTGATTTCAAACCCCTGTACCACACCAAGAAAAAAAAAGATTTAAAAAGTTTATTACTGGGGTTGGGAAGTTGGCTCAGTGGTAGAGTGTTCGCCTCACATGTGTGAGGCCCTGGGTTTGATTCCTCAGCACCACATAAGGAGAAAAAAAAATAAACAAACTGGAAGTGGTGCTGTGGCTCAAGTGGTAGGGTGCTAGCCTTGAGCTGAAGAGCGGAGGGACAGTGTCCAGGCCCAGAGTTCAGCCCCCATGACCCAAAAAAAAAAAAAAAAGTATGTTTCTATAAAGAGAAAAACCTATCCTTTAACTTCTAAGACTTTATTTCAGACACCTCTTTCTCAGGCAGGCCTGTTAACTAGATTGGGTCTTAAGGCCTGAGGAAATAAACTCAACTTTTTTATAGTTGAAAGGAAAATGTAACCTAGGCAGAAAGTAACCCAAAAGACCAGACTGACAAAAGTTACATAGAGGAAAAGATTTATTGCCAGAGGAGCCTAAGGCTAAGTTCTCATGAAGAAAGGGAGAAAATGGTACTGTCTGGCTCCTTGGAGGCCCTTTAATGTCGTCTGAGGCCAGAAATAGGAGGTGCCTCACCTACTGTGCAGGTGCTGCCATCAAGGGCGGAGCTTAGGTCTGCCAGGGAGGCGTTTCCTTACAATAGAAAGTACATAAAATAGAGAGAGCATGAGCAGCAAGGCCCATGGCTCTATAGGCAGGAAGCAGAGAAGTTAATGAGAAGCTAAGGGTGCTGGTGGCTCATGTCTATAATCTGAGCTACTCAGGAGGCTGACATGTGAAGATTAGGGTTTGAAGCTAGCCCAAGCAAGAAAGTCCATGAGACCCTAATCTCTAACTGGGCACCAAGAAAAGCTGGAAGTGAAGTGGAACTTTGGCTCAAATGGTATAGTGCTAGCCTTGAGCAAGCCCCAGGACTGGGGGCAGGGGTGGAGGGGGTAGAGGGGGGGTGAGAGAGGAAGAGAGAGAGAGAGAGGGAAGGAGGGAGGGAAGGAGGGAGGGAGGAAGAAAGAGAAAAAGAAGTGAATGAGAGCCCCCATGTCATAAATGGTTACAGAGGAGACTCTTCTCCTACATCATCTGTTGTCTCTATCACATGCAGAGTTGAGATGGGTCATTTAGATGTGCACACACCAATGTGTAAGGGAAGGACCAGCAGGCCTTGTCTATTTCCCAGGTGTCCCCACGGCTCTGCTGGTGCTTGCTCTCCTTTTCTTTGGTGCTGCAGCTGGTCTGGCAGTTTGTTACATCAAAAGGTAAGATTGTTGGCACATTGTTAGTCTTATCATCTTCTTTACCTCCCTGCCTTGTGTTCTTCTGAGGTTGTCACTGGCCTCTGATTGGTCAAAATGGAGGAGCTACACTTCTTACTCCATAAATCTCTCCTCATCTCACCCGCCCTCATTACCACCAACTATTTTAGCATACCAAAGACATCAATGGCTGTCCCTTTGAAAATCAAGATATAAATGAATAGCTCACTAAGGAAATATATGCTACATTTGATTTTTGGCTTTGTTTTTGGTGGAAGAATTGTGCCTATAGTTGTGCCTGAGGATACTGTTCACTTTAGATTGATTTGTGAAGATTGGGATGTGTTTATAAGCAAGTACAATTTATCAGGGCTCTGAGATAAAGGTACAGTGTGGGGAAGGGCTGTGCCAATACATGCCATTGCCTTCCAGAGAAGCCTCTCACTGTCATTTTCTGTGTATGCTTACAGGTATGTGAAGGCCTTCCCTTTTACAAACAAGAATCAGAAGAAAGAAATGATTGAAACCAAGGTAGTAAAAGAAGAGAAGGCTGATGATGGCAATGCCAATGAGGAATCAAAGAAAACTGAGAAAACCTCAGAAGAGTCAAAGAGTCCATCAAAAACCACAGTGAGATGTCTAGAAGCTGAAGTGTAGAAAAGGAGCTATGAAGGAACACCTGAGGCTGGTTTCTTTCCTGATTTGTCCCCTGGCTCCAGGTGGGGAAACTAAAAGAGCCAAAGAACCAAAGAAAAATGTCTACCCTTTGGGTTCTAACAGGAAACAACTGTGGAGTTCTCCAGAGAGAGGACTCTTCTTACTATAATCCTTCCTGGACCTTTCCTCCTACCTCCACAGCTTCCCACAGCCTTTCTAGCCTGACTATGTGCTAGTAATAGCCCAGTGATAGAAAGGAACTACCAAAGTGCCTAATGGAGTTCATCCCTACACATTCATAGATTGCCTGAGTTGAGGGCCAGAGACCCTGAGACCAGGCCAGAGGCTTTCCATAGCTCTGAAAAGGAAACACACCACTCGGCATGTCCTTGAGCCAGGCACAAGTAAAAGAAGAAAGGAAATATTCAGCAACTAAAGGCAATGGAGAGCCACATGACTTGAGACCTAATCCCTAGGAAGCAAAAATACAGTGTAGGAGGCCAGGATACTGACAGCAATGTTTATGACAGAGGCATAAACACAGGATCCAGGTATCCTTCACTGAGTGAGTTGATTGAAATCACTTTTTAGAACATGCACACTTTCTTTTCTCTCTGCTGCTGCTATTTTCTCTGGAAGAATAAAGTTGGATAAGAAACAAAAAGAAAATACTCACAAAATTCTATTTCATCGGAATCACAGAAATTATTATTGAAGAACTTAATATGTTAAAAAGTAGTGAGATTTAGCCTGGTGCTGGTGGTTCATACCTATAATCTTAGCTACTGTGATCTGAGGATCATAGTTCAAAGCCAGTCCAGGCAAGAAAGTCTGCGAGACTCTTATCTCCAATTAACCCCCAAACAACTGGAAGTAGAGCTGTAGCTCAAAGTGGTAGCCTTCAACACAAAAGCTCAGGGACAGTGCCCAGGCCTTGCATTCAAGCCCCATGACTTACACACACACACACACACACACACACACACACACACCACATCACATTCAAAGAGTAGTTGCCAAATATCGCCTGCAGATGGACTATCCCTCCTCCAAAATGCTTGGGAGCAGATGTGTTTTAGACTTCAGACTTAGGAATGTTGCATATATATAGACACACACACACACAGAGAATGTGATAGCTTGCATATAGGCTCTGAGCCTTAAGGTATTTTTATACAATAGTTTAAATAAGTTTATGCAAGAAACAGTTTCATGGTGTTGAATTTTCCATTTGAGGGGCAGTATATTAACACTCAAAATGTTTCCAATTTTGAAGCATTTGGTTTTTGAATTTTTGGATTACAGATGCTCAACCTGTATATTTCAGGTGCTTTGTGAAATATTTGTTCTATCATGAATATTATTATTCATCAAAAAATTGCTATAGTGGAGTGCTGTCTAAAACTAACACTTTTTTTTCGGCTTTGATATCCCTAGCCTGTCTACTTCCAGAGCTTTTTTCTGCTGAGACTAATCATTTTTTTCTACTGTAACAACTATTTTAACCTTAATTTATTATTAACATAACTAAAAAGTATATTATTACCTCTACATTCCAATAACAAATATATCACCAACTCTTGTTTCCCAGCAACAAGAGCCTGATGCAGAAATATTTGTGCTAAAACAGAAATTAAAACATTTAGAAATTTTCTTTGCTCTCTCATTTACATAAAAATTATATCTCCTGTGCAAAATTAAAGAAACAAACCACATTCTATGTTTTTGAAAAGTAAAAGAGACACTTTTGATTGCTCCAAAAATAAACATATATGAACCCAGTATTATATAGGTTAACATGTGGGTTTGTCTTTGCTTCATCTGATTTTATTTTAAATTGGTCAAATACACACAAATTAGACCTTTAGGATGGGAAGGGGAAACAAAAGAGGAGGCTACAATGCTTGATACGAAATGTATTCATTATCTTGCCCATGTAATTGTAACCCCTCTGTACAGTATTTTCACAATAAAAAAAAAACAAATTAGACCTTTACTTGGGCCTCAGATGCTACATCTCAATGAATTTTCAGAGTTCAGAGGAAAGCCAGAGATTCAAGGTAGGTTATTTATCTTGGATCTCCATCTTTCTCTTACCTCTGTCCAGAATCCACACCTGCATTATCCCCACCCCACCCTAGCCCCACATGCATAGACTATTAATTATCTTCCTCCCTCACCAGGGACTTCACCATCCTGTGGGTCCTTGTACTCAGGAAGACATAACCCATGGGATACTCTTTCTTGATTGCCCGACAATTAAATTTAGTTTAATTACCAAGAATTAAAATCAAGAGATTTTTATGTGCTTATATTTCTCTAGGTTCCCTTGCAAAAATGAAAGACCTGGAGACAAAGACCTACATTCTCCTAGGGCAATAATCAGCTGATGTTGAGTAGGGCCTGTCCCCCTTGAATGGGGTATGTTCTGTTCTTCTTCCACAATCCCTCCTGCACCTTCATCCCAAAGGAAAGGTACCATTTCCTGTTGTCTTTGTCATCCATAGCTGTTACCTGCCTGACCCTGTAGGTGTGAGTCTGAAACTCTCCTTTGTTAGTCCGTAAATTTTATTAGCTTTGTCTAGCTCTCAGGAGTGTAAGTGAAAATGGAAAAGTGCCAAAGTAGTGGTCCTTTCTCTGTGTTAGCTGAAAAAGAATCAATTCTTCCACACATCTCCCATCTTGTCAGCATCCCATCTTGTAGGATGCCATTGTTTCTTCTTTAATTTTGGACAACGATGTCCCTTACTCAGGGAGAAGAAATGCCCACACAGCTATAAACAGTACACAGTCCCACCTCCAAAAAGTTCTCTATCCACAAACACAACCGAGTAGATTGACATTTTTTTATAGAATGTATCTATAAAAACATATATAGCCTTTTTCTTGTCGTTAGTCCCCTTAAAATACTATATGGAAACTGTTTGCCCAGCATTTACATTATATTGGGTATTAAAAGTAATTTAGAGATGATTTAAAGTATATGAAAGGATGCACAAAGATTAAGTGCAAATACTACACCATTTTATGAAAGGGACTTGAGCAATTGTGGATTTTGTTATGAGAGGAGTTATCCTGAACTTAATCCTCTGAAGAAACCTGGAAATGACTGTAAGGGAAGAAGGGAAGGGAAAGGGATTGAAGAGAGGGGAAAGGACAAGAAAGGAAAGGAGGAAACAAATTTTTGCTGAGCATTTAGTAAGTTGACAGTCATTTCATGTTACTAAGTTTCATCTCCATACCTTCCTTGAGCAATAAGAATCATTAACTCCCATTTTTCATTCACTCTAAAATCAGAATTTTATTTATTCATTGTTATTTTAGTAAAGATGACAAGAAAGTTTATTTCAAAAGAAATATGGCGGGCTGGGAAGGTGGCTCAGTGGTAGAGCGCTTGCCTTGCAAGCCTGAGGCCCTGGGTTCGATTCCTTAGCACCACATAAGCAAAAACAAAAAAGCCGGAAGTGGCGGAGGTAGAGCACTAGCCTTGAGCTGAAGAGCTGAGGGACAGCGCCCAGGCCGAGTTCAGGGCCCACAACCGGACCAAAAAAAAAAAGAAATATGGCTTAGAGCTCAAAAAATTAAACTCTCAAAAAATAAACCTTCAAAGAAACAACCACTCAAATAATAAGTGGGCTAATGACAAAGAGAGACTTCTCAGAAGAAGTAAAAATGTCCATTGGACACATGAAGACAGGTTCAACATCTTTGGCCTTAAAAGAAATGAAAATAAAAACAACACTGAGATTCTACTTTACCCCAGTTAGAATGGTCATTATCAAAACTAATGATAACAAATGCCAGAAGGGAAACTGTCTATTACAGTGTTGTGTGGGTATGTAAACTTGTTCAACCACTCTGGAATATGCGGATGTTCCTCAAAATCTAGACATAGAACTACTCTATGACACAGCAATTCCACTCCTGGGCATTTATCCAATAGCGCACAAACAAGGCTTACAATAAAGCCATCAGCACAGCTAGCACTGTTTACCATAGCCGTCATATGGAATCAGCCCAGATGTTCCTCAATGGACAAATGGATTTTTTTAATGTGGTATATATACACAATGGAATTTTACTTTTCCATTAGAAGGAATGTGCTATTTGTAAGGAAAATGAAAGACTAGGAAAATTTTCATGAAGTAAACCAGACCCAGAGAAACACAAGTTGCATTGTTTCTCTCATTTGTGGTAACTAGAATGTGCCTATGAATCTATAAGTAAACACACAGGGTGCTGTGCAAATGGTTGCAAATGGTTACAAATAAATTAACTGAAGTATAAAACTCAATGGAGAGCTCAAATAGTATAATTCTTTAGAAAGACCAAATCAAGCCCAACAGAATGACCACTAGGAAATATGTATTCCCAAGAGGGGGTAGATGGGGAGATGAATGAAGAGAGGAAGTGGGGGAGAATACAGTCAAATTTCATTGTATAAACCATAAAATTAAGAAAAATAAGGGAAGGGGTGGGTCAAAGGGGATGAAAATGTGTTGAAGGGGGTGACACGGATCAAGATGCATTGTACTCATAAACTGCTTTGTTAAATGGCAAAAACATTCAATTCAAGAAAAGTGAAGGGATGGCTGGATTGGGAAGGAGAAGTGAGAATGTTGAAAGGGATGGCATTGATCAAATCAGTTGGCATTCACAAACTGCTTTGTTGAATGACAAGTCCTTTGTACAACTACTTTAAAACAATAAAAAACATTTTTTGAAAAGAAGTATGTCAAACAAAGAAAGAGAACATGTGGTATGAGAGAAAATTGGACTTTTAGAAGAGTTAAATCAGTTTCTGAGTCAAGGTCTTGGTAAATGGTAAAGATAGGATTTTATCCCAGGCCAGGATAACAGAAGAGCCTGCCCATATTCCTTTCTCTATACTGTCCCGACCCGCAGGACTTCAACGAGGGCAGTGAACCTAAGCGAGAAGGAATGAAGGGACAAGAGACACAAAGAATGACAGCAAGACAAGGATTCTGATCAAGCTGCCAAATTTTATTTTTCACACAAGGGTATTTATATGCTTGGAATAAGGAAGCTTTTTCATTGGCCGAAGCAGCTGCAGGGTGCTTGCTTAGGACAAGGTGAAAAGGTGGTCGTTAGTAGCTGCAGGGTGCTTGCTTCGGGCAAGGTGAGAAGGTGGAACAGCCTCAAGCTGTTCCAGTGAGATAGTTGGCTCCCAACACTATGCCACACTTCTCTTGCAAATGATAACATAGGATGATGGAAGTCATTCCAATATTCAATCTTGAAACTGAGCACTTGCCAAAAACAACAAGAAAACAATTCAAAACTTCTGTGTCGACTTCAAGGACTCTTTCTTTCTTAAATCTGTGACAAGAAAAAAGGACTCAAGGGAAGCTTAACTCTTTTTTCATGGAGTAAAAAAACATAAAGCTAGGGCTAGGAAGGTGGCTCAGTGGTAGAGCGCTTGCCTTGCATGCCTGAGGCCCTGGGTTCGATTCCTCAGCACCACATAAGCAAAAAGAAAACAGCCGGAAGTGGTGCTGTGGCTCAAGTGGTAGAGTGCTAGTCTTGAGCTAAAGAGCTGAGGGGCAGCACCCAAGCACAAAGGTCAGGCCCCACGACGGGCAAAACAAACAACAACAACAACAAAAACCCTAAATCCTAATAGCACAGATAGCTATGGTCAACCTATAGCTAGTCTAGCTCATCTAGAAGTCTCCTTCCTAGTCAAATTCTTTTATTCACTACTGAATAAAAAGAAATGAGAATACAAAAAGGCATCCTAGTAAGATCTACACTCCAGCTTGCCAAAGTCAGTCTTCAAAAGCCGCA